ATAAACATAGGGGTGCATATATCTTTTTCAAACTGGGATGCTGTATTCTTAGGGTAAATTCCTAGAAGTGGAATTCCTGGGTCAAATGGTATTTCTATTGTGGGATTGATGGGGTTAATAGATAATTCAAGTAAGGTAGAAATCAAATGTATAAGCACACGACTTGATTGTTTTTCCCACACACTCTGTTGATGTGTAATCAAGGACTGATTGATGAGAACCAAAGCAGTTCTCATGGCTTGGAGCCACATTCACACAGTTTTAGTATCGAGAAGCGTTGCATCCTTGGGCTAGACTCAAGGCCGAAGAATGATGTTTGAGTTCATTGTAAGTTCATTTACTCAATAAATATGAGGAGTGCCTTTTTGGCATTGCTCTTGAGCTGTTACGCTTTGAGTCCCCTGGCTGGCCCTTTCAGGTCTTCAATATCTCATTGCGTCTCCTCCCTTATCTGTGGGTCAGAGGCGGGAACGGGACCGACATCTATTTTGAGCTTTTTGAGGAACCTCCATACTGCTTTCCACAATGGCTGAACTAATTTACATCCCCTTTCTCCACAACCTCGCCAACATTTGTTGTTGTTTGTCTTTTGGATGGTGGCAATCGTTACTGGTGTGAGGTGGTATCTCATTGTGGTTTTAATTTGCATTTCTCTGATGACAAGCGATGTGGAGCATCTTTTCATATGTCTGTTGGACATCTGAATTTCTTCTTTGGAGAACTGTCTGTTCAGCTGAGTGATTTTTGACTGGACCAGATTCTTCTGCCTTTTCACGGTAATAGAAGTGGTTGCAGGCAGGTGGCACATGTGTCAGCTGGGAGAACAAAGTCCCTTCCTGCTTGTTGGTCGCCTTGCCCTTCTCCACTGCCTGTGCCTGTTACAGGCACACCGGGAGCAGACTCTGGGACAATCTCCTGAGTTGTCGTGGGTGGGGCCACCCTCTGCCTAGCCTAGAGCGCTGCAGGGTGTTGCAGTCCCACGGCGTGTGTTCTCCTGTGAGAACGGTGCCCCTTCATGCCTTCCAGACCTTGCTCCAGCTTCTGCTGGCTGAGGATGGTCTTTTTGTATTTTATTTCTGCACAGTATCCATTCCAAGAAGGACCCCAAAGAGTAGGGGGTTTAAAGGTGATAAATGAACTTTCTACACACTTATATTTTGGAGGTGCCTACTTTCACACCATTGGTCATGCCATTCTTTTCAAGAGTTCCTTCCCCAGTGCCTCCTTCCACCCCAATCCCCGCACCAGTTATCACTTCCCATTTCACACTTTCTTGTGCCCCACCTCTTTGAGGTTCTTGATTATTCCAGCTGGAACCTATTGAGTCTGCCACCCCCATCCACTAGCTTGCATGCAGGGCATCGCCTTTGACATACCTCTGCAAAAATTAAGTTAGTTTTCTTCTGCTTCCTAAATATGTCTCAAATCTGTCCAGTTTTCTCCGGGGTGGTGTGCAGCTAGGCCCACCACTTGCTGGAACCTGACTACACGGGGTTAGTACAGGTAAAGCTGCACTACAACATCCACACTGTAGCTGGTGACCTTAAACCCTTTCATGGCTGTTTTGATCCTGTTTCTCTTTTCTCTCACTACTCTTTCCTGGTCACTATATTCCATCCCCTGGCACACTTCTGGTTCCTGTCATATTTGTCTGTGTTGATGCTGTTCTTTGCCTGAAATAATCTCTCTTCATTATCTACTCAGTCTTCACTTAAATGTTGGTTCTCCTGGGAAGTCTCTAACCACCTGTTGCCCACCACATCCTACATCCTGATCTTATCATGTGAAGTCTCTCTTCCCCTGTAGAGTATACATGGGAAGCAGACCGATGTATTTTGTTTGTATCTTCTCTACTAGGTCTTACACAGAGACTTAATCAAATACGTATTGAATGAGTTCATAGAATCTAATAGTCCCAGAATTTGGCTTCCTACCAAATCCCATTTTGCAGATGCTCTCACATTTATAAGCATGGAGACAAGATCAAAACTGATCACCAGCAGAGGGCAACCAACAGCTATATTGTAAAGGGAACAAAGCTCCAAGGTTTACAAAATGTATGAGTTGGACTGAGAGGCTGGCAGAGGCTGGTACTTGTAGAATCATACATTTTGCTGTAACTTTTGGGGGTGAAAGGCCAAGGATTCAAACCTTCATGTGCAACAGAAAATTTCTAATTTATACCATCCCCACAGTTCCTCACCCCAAACTCCTCAGTTCCTCACCCCACCTCTTCCATACCAACAAGTCCTATCCTTACATCTTTCCCTGTGTTTCACAATCGGGTTCCCCCCTGCTTTGCACACACACACCATTTTTACATATTTACTACATCCCACCCACTGGCATGCCTTAGTCTCTGATTCAGTATTTGGCCTTGCTTATCTATCTGCCCTCAAGTTACCTTCACCTCGGCTCCTGATTTCAGCCTCCTAAGGTAACTTTCCTAAAGGTGCTCCCATAACATATTCAAATTCTCCTACCCCATTGGATCAGTCCTTCATTAATTCAGATCAAACAAAACTACACCTTCATTTGACACTTCCAAATCACCAGCGTTTTTTTTTTTAATAAAATATATACTCTCTGCCTCTAGCTCCATATTATCTTCATACTCCATCATAGAAACCTTTGCTGTTTGAAACCCTTACTGGGCTTCAGAGACACTGTACTTTTTCTCTTAGCACTTTCTCCATCTCAGTGTCTCCCTCTTTCTGTGAAATTCTACCAAATCTTCATTATTTTCCCTCCTGCCAAGACAAAAATCCCAAGCCACCATTCCAGGCATAGCCTCTCAGCCAAGCGAATGGTCCTGCATGTCCAGCTGCCTGTGTCTGCATAGGCTGATCTAATGTCACCTGAAATGCAAACAAAATTCTCTTCCTTTCCCAGAATCACATTTTCCCATTTCTGTTAATACTCTCAATTCTGTCTAGTTTCCAACTGTAGAATATCTAGCCCTTTCTCCCATGTCCATCACTCATCAATCATTCTCCTCCATCATATGTCTAATTCTGCTTTTGTTACAGTGGCTTTCCAGGTGCCCCAGTCCCACCACACTGAAATCTAAACACTGCTTTCCTCATATTATTCCCAAGAACTTGGAGATCCTTTCTGTTCAAAACATGTCTCATCTGTTCAAACATACGCTCCTTTCAACCAACACACCCTGCCTAAATCACCCATTTTTAAAAATCTTCAATTCTTCCCATTTAAGATACCCTCAATCTAATCAGGTTGGGCACCTCCATGGGACAGCCTAAATCCATCTTTCTCTCATGAAGTTCCTTCTTTGTCTTCACCTTATTGTCTAACCAATGACTAAACTGCTACCTTGTACTGATATTTTTCAGTTACAAATTCTTAGATCTTAATCAAAATTACTTTTATGTGACTAAAAAGCTAATCTGGGAATATGGGGGAATCTAACACCCAAGAACCTATTGTCTCCCTCCAAACTGTTGACTTGTTCCAAATGTTAAGAGAATTGGATCTCTGCAGTTCATCCAGTAAAGCAAATCATTAGAGGATTTGAGCTGAAATTATCTCAGCCTACGCATTCCAGGAATGCTGCTGTCTCAGAAAACACTTCTGAACTCCTTCACAGCTAGTTTATGAGCCGCACTTAAATTATTCATTACTTCAAAATTACTTAAAAAGAAAAAAGCTGAAGCATTAGCCAGCTTTATCATGTACCTGTTTTCCAGATTAACTTTCTTTCAGATTATTTCTGGAATTCCTCAAGGTTCCATTCTTAGTCGTTCTCCTGTTCTCTTTTAGTGTTTGCATTCATTCCTAGATTTCTTGATCACCTTTGGGCAGATAACTCCCAAGTTCACATCTTTAACCCTAAATTTCTTGTTTTTAAAGTCCAGACCCACATTTCCTAGCTAAACAAACACCTTCATGTGGAAGCACTTCCAACCCAACATTCCCCTGATGAGCTCTTTACTTCACCCTGACATCTGCTCTTCTCTCTGTTCGTTTATGACCCTGCCTTCTCATTCCTACAGACTGGAAACCTCATGTCTGTCACTCACTCATCTTTGGTTACATGCCCCTTACTATGTGCAGTGCTTAGGAGCTTAGGAGCTTAAGCTCTGGAATGATTTTGGGGGTTCAGATCTCAGTTCTGATGCTGTGCAATTTTTGTCTGTTTCCCCATACAGAAAGTGGAGAAGACAGTAGTTCTGGGTGACTCAGTAAATGCGCAATCTGGCTGTTAATTCCTTTCCTCACTGCCAATACCTGATCCTGTTCAGAGTTAAGCTCCAGGGATCCTTCTGAGAAGCTTTCCTGCCACATGCCACCAGATAGGTAGTTGACCCCTTTCTCCACGTTGTGCCATTGTACTTAGTCTGTATCTGTTAGCAACATACTATTCTATATTTCCCATTATTTATTCAAGTGTATGTAACCTAAGATGCACATTCCTTTAAAGACTCTTTTCTCAATAATTTATGTATTTCAAATGCCTAGCACCCCATCTGGCACGTGACAGGTATGCTATAAATGTTGTCTGAGTGAATCTGGTCAGTTGCTAAGGCCTGTCCATTTTTCTCCCACAATGTCTTGTCCTTCGTCCTGCTATTTCCCACTCTGACCCTCTCTTGCACAACTTACTGCAAAGCTTACTGTACTGTCACCAGTTCTTTGATGTCTTCCCATTGCCACCAAAATCATGAGTTGGATGTCACTGCTCTTCTCAAAAACTTACCTGTAATATTAAAGTCCAAATTCCCTACCATGTATTCAAGACCTTCCAAGATTGGCTCCAAATTATTTCTAGTCTTAACTTCCATTATTTCTTTCAACAAACTCTATTCTCCAGATTACACTAGTCTCTTCTTTCAACGTATCTTTCATTTACACTTGTTTTTATTCATGCTATGACCTTAGCCTAAAACAGAGGTTGCAGACTGGAGGACCCTACATTTTGGAGTGGGGGGGCACAATCATTTTTTTAAAAAACAAGCCAACATTTTAAAGTTTTGACATCTGGCATAAACATCACAATGTCCAAAGGTTCTTGAAAAATAAGATTTGGCAGTACTGGGCCCCCATTTTTGTACAGCAGCAAACCAACCCAAGGTATCCTGCCAGGTCCCCATCTCTCAGGCTGTGCCCAAGCACCTAGCCAGCTTTACAAAGTCTTCCAATACTGGTGCACAATGAGGTGAGGCTGATGCTGGGACAACTGGACTTATCTCCTGACATTACACAGTATAAACAACATCTCTTCTGCTGGGATGTCTTCTATCCCCCAGACTTAAAACATGCCTCTCTCAGATGCTAGATCTAATCGTTCAGTAAAAACGGGGGCTAGAGAAACAACTTTCAAAGGACACCATGAAGAAGCAATCAGACAAACCCACAAGACTGAGTGGACAGGACAACTGGCCCAATCTCTTCAGCAAACTAGTGTTAACAGAAAAAAACGTTATTCCGAAAATCCAGATTGAGAGAGTAAAAGATGACACACAACCTGATGTAGTGCATGGTTCCGGGGATGGCCTGGATCCAGGGTTGGACAACTAGCTCTAAAAGTACTTTTCTTGGGACATTTGGGGAAATGTGAATATAGGTTTGTATTAAAATAATGATTGCTTATTGATTTTAAACGTGTTATTTTAGCAATGTAGAAAAATGTCTGCTCTTTACATTTTTCCTGCTCACTCTCCTGACCTTAAAAGTCTAGAATGGGTTGGCACACTTTCTGTGAAGAACAGAAGAGCATGTATTTTAGGCTTTGTGGGCCACAGTTCTGTGGCAATGATACACCTCTGCTATTGTCATCTAAAAGCAGCCACAGACAATATATAAACAAATGGGAATGGCTGTATTCCAATAACTTTTTACCAAAGCAGGCAGCATGATGCAGTCTGTAGTTTGCCAACTGCTGACCTCAGACAAATGCTCCTTCTCCTGAAGAAGTCTGTCCTGGTTCTCATCAGCATCAGATGCTTTATCTTTCCTTTGTTCACAAAGTGTCTACAGGCCCACTTGCCACTTTGTTATGTCTTCTTACATGCTCATCTCCATTAGGGAGAGCAAGTTCTTTGAAGGTTAAGTGCCAATTGCTACAGGAACCACTCCCCATCCCCACCCTAGTGAGTTCCTTACATAATAGACATTCAATAAATGTTGTTTCTAGAAACCAAACCTACCCTAAAAAGATTTGGCACCATTCCTGACATTCTAAAGAATGAGCAGCAGGTTCTGAAATTTTAAAGGCGCTTCAGAGGAAAGAAAAAAGGCACTACTAGTTGGGAATACATATATTGCCTCTTATGCTCTATATTGTGATGTGTTCATCAGTATTTTATAATCAGACTTTGCACGTATGAGAGTGCAGTAGACTCAGTGGGCATAGGAGGGCCCTTTCGCCCTTGCCCTTTAGCCTGACTGGAGTATGCAGGGCACTATTAGGTTTACATTAGGTGCATGACATGTACTCAACAAGTTTACAGTATACTATGGAGGAAAGATTTTCCTTTTCTCATGACAGGGAGAAGGTGGCAAATGCCTAGGAAAGAATTTATCAAGACTTGATGACCACTTTACATCCACAGTGATTCTAGGTTTCTGTCCTCATGTATGCTTTCTTGGTTAGGTGATGCTGGGGGGTGGGTGCATCCCTACTTGCGATTGGATCCCAGACCGTAAAGCAAAGGTGCTTGTGGGACAAGGGAGAAAGGTGCATACACATCTTCTCTGGGAAGTGTCCCCAAATCCCAGAGCACATAGGAAAGATGTGGAATTTGGGGCAAAGGGACCCTGGAAAGAATGTAACTCATATCACTGGAGAGAAAGTGTTGGCCGCCACAGAGGAGACAGGAGGGTGCACAGGATCAAGAAGATGGACAGACATCTTCCTACAATTATTATTATCTTAGATAATTCTAAGATGAGGGTAGGTCACAAAGCAAGGAAGTGAGGGGACTTAAGGCGAGAGAAAGATCAAAGCAGAGGAGAGACCTTCACAATGAGAGGAGTGATGTTGAATAAGAACTTAAGAGTTGAGTAAGAACTTAAGAGTTGAGTAAAAGGTTTATTAGTGCAGCAAACACCACTGAACAGCACATGTAACCACCACCAACCTGAAAAGACACTAGTGCAAAGGGGGTAAAGCCTGAACTGAGCTTCCTGGCTCCACCTGAGGTTGACGACAGGAGCATATGGGCCTTGGTAAGGCAGGTAGGGGCAGAAGGGAGTGGAATAAATGTAACCAGACTAAGTATAGCAGCGTTTTCAAATTCCTGAGCACAATGTCCGGGAGCTGGCCATGACTGTTCCCTACTCCCTTCAAGTTGTATCCCTCCACTCCAATCCCAGTGGGGCCATGACCCAATCTCCCAGACCAACAGCAAGTTGGCCTGGGAAAAAATTCCAAAAGGAGAAGCTGTTCTATGGCCATCTCTTTTCAACCTCACTCCCACCTGCATATTAAAATAATGACACCCACCATCCCTCCCCAACTCTAACTCTACTAGTCACCTCAGGGAAGGAGGAATGCGCTGGCTTGGCCTGAAATGGAGATGAAGGCCTATGCATGGGGAAGACAGAGCACACAGCCTTTACTCAGAGATCCAGAGGCATAATTCTATCCCACCTTGCCTGGTGAAGCTGAAAGCCCAGCTATGTATCTCCAAGGAAACTATGGTGGGAAATGGGGGGATGTCTTCTAAATTAATACTCTACATGCAGACTTCTACAATGAGACCCTGGAAGTGCTGGGAGCAGAGTTCTCCACAGGGCACTGCATCAGTGCTGGGCTGTCATAACCATCACTGGGACAGGGGTGCTCCTCATCCCAGATGGGGTTCAGGGATCTGAGGCAGACATCATAAGCTCAGCCAAGGACTCCCTTGATCCTTTCCATATTAAAGCCAAAGGCTGTGCTGAAAAGGAAAAATATAAAACAGATTCCATCCCCATCCCATCCTACCCAGGATCCCCACAATAGGAACAAAGAACATTTTAAGTTTTGTTAATTTTTTTTTTCCTTTCTTAAAAAAAAATAATAAATTAAATTGTCAACAATGTGGGTGGGCTGGAAAAGTAGGGTAGCCATAACCAGGCCAATCGTAAAAAAAAAAAAAAAAAGTGGGAAAGAGGGAGAGAAATAAAAATAAACAACAATGGCCAAAGGAAATCATCAAAATAACTAGTTACAATCACAGGGCGGGAGAGGGGTCTATGGGTGAATTATGGCCCAGGCCAGAGGCAGGGCCTACCCAATTTCAGCAAAAGCCAGAGGGCTGCTTCTTGCTGAGCATATCCACCCCAACAGACTAACCTGTACCCCCTTTTCTGTCATTCCGTAATTATGAGGAAGTGTAGGAAGAGTCATCTGGAAACTCTTGGTGTCACACCTGCAGCCCCTGTGGGAGACCACACCTATCAGGTTGCCAGGACAGCACTGCTTGGCACAGAAGTCCGATCTCCTAAGGGCTGTCACTGATAGCCAGTTACTGGCTTCATTATTTATTCTAGTGTTTTGGTTCCACCCTTACCATTTCTTCAGGATAGCTGCTTTCCAGAGCTGCTCTCTAAATGCTGTTTGCTGTCATTAGGCCTGTGTGCTCGATTCCCTGGTTTTGAAGGGGGGAATGATTAGAGATCCCTCACTCCACCCTGATCCTCTAGAGAAATTGGATATATTTGTGCTTTCTGAAAATATCTGGAACCAGGGACCCTAGACAGGATAGATATGGAGGTAGGGACTTTCCCAACCACACTGAAAATTTACAGACATCGGGGAAGAAATTAGGCAAGAGGAAGAAATCTGGGCCTCTCACCTGAAAGGCTGAGCAAGGTGGCCCAGGGCCCTTCAGTGCCAGAAGAGCAGGGAGGTGTGGCTCAAGTGTAAGCCATGGTGTTAGGAACAGTGGAAAGGACTCAGCTGCTGGAGTGAGAGGATTTTCTGCTTTCCATCTCTTCCTGGTAGCCTGTCAAGATCTCTTATATCTCTTCCACGCCATGCGCAAATATCATGACAAGTCCCGGCTCCTGCACCATGTCATCACCCATATGCTGGTTCTCACAGGCCATCACAACCACTGCCTGCTTGCCAGGGATGCGCTTGGCCACGTAGTTCTCATAGTAGCGTCGGTTCATCTGTCTTGTCTCCAGTGTGGCCAGGCCCTGGGGCCAGCTGCGCTCGTGGGCGTTCTCGATGAGCTCGTTGACAATGGAGGCAGGGCAGCCACTCTCTACCAGGGAGCGCTTGATCACAGCCTGGAGCACAGCGTCTGGGGTTGAGATCATACCTCCCCAGCGAGTCACTCTTGCTGGCTGCAGGGAGCTCACCCACCTAGGGGGAAGAGGTGGTCACTCCAGCCCAACCCCTTCCTCTGCATTGGCCTTTTCTCCTAACAAGAATGACCACCCGCTGTGTACTCAGCTCAACCCTATTTTTCTTTCTTTCCTTCCATCATTGGTCCAGGAACTCTGAATCTTTCCCTAGTTGGTCCCCTCTGAGTCCCCAAGTGCTACTCACCAGATTCAACTCCACAAGTGTAGAGCCCTTGTTATTTTTCTTAAAAAATCCAAACTTAGCACATACAGTGCCTGGCAGGTAGTAAGCGCTCAACAATGTTTACTGAATGAGGCAACTGTTCTCTATACCATGTCCCACACAGCACCATTCACACTATGTATATTGATTCACACAGTTTAGTCTATGAACTGTGTAGGACTTCCAAATGGAAAGGGATTTTAGACTTAGCTTGTCCATGCTGTATTTTATTCCCTTTCCTAGATCAGCACTCTCTCTCTTCTTCTCTGGATAGCAAGTTACTTGAAGACAGGCACACAATCTTCTATTTCTTTTTACTCTCCTAGCATGCTACAGCCTTAAACACAGGGTGTTGGATATGTGGGTACCCACCTAATTCTGAATAAACTTTACGCTTGGGTAAGCTTTCCCTTCCATGCACCCAAGAGAACAAGATCCTATATTGGGGCTGACGTTGCCCTCTTCTTGTCTGCCTAATCCCCATCCCCACATCTGAAAGGCAGCGGCTCCCCCCTGCTCCTCCTCCCTGCAGAGCTCCATGCCAGGATGTGGAGAGAGTGACTCCAGAGCCACATCTGGAGGGACACTCACTCTAGGATCTCGTTGTATTCAATTGTCTCCTCCAGGTTCTGAAGGTTGGGGTTGACACTGCGGATTGCACGCATGTATGCCTTTAGTAGCTGAATGTCTCGCTTCTGTTGAAGGAAAGAGAACGAGGGATGGTGGTTACGGAGCCCCCATCCCCCTTGGCTTTCTCTGGGCTTCTCTCCTGCTTTTATCTGTGACAAAGCTCACTTATCCTCTGACAGGCTCTGCCTATGCATTCATTCCTTCTGAGCAGCCCTAGATTCACACATCATCAGATGAAAGACAAAGGCTGACCTTAGAATGAGGGCAACTGAGAGACTATAGGATCACTGGACTGCCAGCTTCATGAAGAAAGGGGTATCCCATTCACAACTGTGCCCCCAGGGCCTAGCAAAGTGCCTTCATAGAGAGGGCAGCTGATAAACGCTGGGTGAACTAATGACAGTGATGGGACGATGGGCAGAGAAGGGCTCCAATCTGGTTCCCTACTAAGTGACAGGCAGAGGATCCCCGCCCCCAGGCTCTCAGGTACCGGAACAGACCCATGTGCTAATGCAGGCTTTCAGTCACTTGCAGGAGGCAGGCCTTCCACCCCGCGTTCCTACCTGCTCTGCCAGCTGGTGCTTGTGCTCGGCAGATGTCCTTTCCAGCTCTGCAACGCGCGTCTGCTGCTGCCGCACCACCGAACGCAGGTGCTTCACACAGTTGTGGTTTGGTAGCTCATCTTTGGGCATCTCCAGGCTGCTGCCCAGAATGGGAGCATTCGATGACACAGGGGGGGAAACACAGAAAATGGCTGAGGGCCTTTTTCCTACCCCAAATTTCTAACATTCATTCGATTCTAACACTCAGGCCTCCCTCTTGTTTATTCCTGTCACTTCCTTTTCCCCAGTCCCCTATCCCCCTTGGCTTTCTCTGGGCTTCTCTCCTGATTTTATCTGTGACAAAGCTCACCTATCCTCCTACAGGCTCTGCCTATGCACTCATTCCTTCTGAGCAGCCCTAGATTCACAGCTCTAGCCATCAGCTTTTAATCAAATATTTCACACTCCAAGAGAAAAAAATAGGGCTAAAGGAAATATGAGAAGGCTGGAAATTAGAACAACTTGATAATGAGAAAATAGCACTGGACTAAAAGGAAAGAATAAATGAAAACAGCCTTTAGAGTTACCACCAGTTGCTGAACTGCAGTGTCCTGTCATTCATAAAGTGAGAGCAAAAGGACCACAGTTGGAAAGAAGCACACAGTCGAGATCCTGGGGCTGAGGGCCAGGGAGGCCAAGAGCACTCCTTGCCTACATGCACAGGAGGTTCCTTAGCTAGTGAGCAGGGGGTCCAGAAACAGGGGTGTGAGAAGGAAGCCCTCATCCACGTGGGGGCAGGATGGGAAGGAATCTCACCCGCAGCCCTGTTCACAAGTCACAGGCCGTTTTGGGTTGTGCTCACAGTCACTGAGGTGAGACATGAGGTTGTCAAGCCGGACAACAGCACTGCAGCCAAACACAGCGTTGTCGCACGCAATCTGCAGCTTGGACAACATGTTCCGCATGATCCGAGGCACTGGGCGCAAGTGGGCGACTGTCACAACGCTCCGGTCCACTGGGCATGTCTGTTGCTGAGAGAACCACTGGGTGATGCAGGCATTGCAGAAAGCGTGCTCACAATGAGGCGCCTAGAGGGAGAACAGGTGAGGGCACAAGAGGTGAGAGGGTGCTGACAGCCCGGACGCAGCTCCACAAAGCCAATCTGGTCTTTGAGCAGCTGCCAGGACCAGAGGCCCTGGGGCCACGGCCACAGCCAGATGCACTATGGGCAATGTGCTGCAGGGTCAGCTCAGATACCTTCCTGTGCTCCATTCCAAATGGCTTGTGACATAAGACAAACAAGTAAAAAGTTATATAACAATAAGAGATACAAACAATATCCCAGGACAGTAGGAGAGGTGATATAAGGTAGTCAATTTTTAATTGCCAACTGGACTACCAAAGAAGTCCAGGGGAAGGAGTGACCTTTCCAGGCTGGTCAATCAGGGCAGGGATTTATGGAGAGGACAGAATTTGATATAGGTCTTGAAGGATAAGTAGAGAGGAAGGGGCCAGAAATTTACTGGCAAAAAGTTCAACGTAAGAAAGTAAAACAAAACAAAAAAGCCTGGAGCTCTTGGGGTGGGGTGAAGAGTTCTCTCTTTGTGGACCAAAGTTCTTGTTTTCTGAGGGTTGATGTGAGAATCCCAAGGGCCAGGCCAACCTGCAAAACAAAGCTGGTTTGTCGCAAATTCACCTTTTCAGTTTCAGAGGCATCGTATTTCTGATCTTACTGATTGGTTTTGTGAAGTCACCTCCTTGATAACTCAGATAACCTCTAAAGTTAATACCTCAAAGCAAGAGGACTTCCAGGCTGCTATGGAGACACTAGCCAGCCTTCAGCATGGGACAAACATAGGAGGTACTTAGTCAATGTTGATGAATAAATGAATGACTGGAGTGTTAACTATGTCCCAAATATTCTACTAGGTGCTTAAGATAAAAAAGGGCAATTTGTGCCTTGGAGATCTCAAAGACACCAAAGAGTGAAACACAGCAGGTTCTCTAAGGGAAAAAGGTATTCTCAATATCACTAATCCAACTGCAGCAGATTTTTCTTTTTCAAAGGCATATTTACTTATTTTTAAAAATCTTAAGTTTGTCCAACTTTCCCCATCTATACTACCACTAACCCAGTTTAAGTTATCATCTCTTACCTATACTATTGAATATGTTTTCTAACTGGTCTGTTTCAACCACACTCCTTTATAATTCATCTACATTCAGCAGCCAGAGTAAACATTTAAAAATGCAAACTAGCTCATATCATTCTCCTTCTGAAAACTTTACAATGGCTTCCTATCGTACTTAACATAAATCCAAACTCCTATGCAGGACCTATAAGATACTGATGATCTGGCCCATGCCTCTGACCTCTCCTTACCTCATACCACATTCCTGCCTCAGGACCTTTGTTTTTGCTGCTCTCCTTTGCCTGAAATGTTCTTCCTCTAAATCCTAGCATGAATGGCCCCTTGTCATTCAGATCTCAGCCCAATTGTTACTACCTCTTTTATGACCATTCTAAATCTGCCACCCCTACAGAAACATACAGAATGTCCTATGTCCTGTGTAAAAAAAGTGNTATTCATCCAGAGTTTATCTGCTCACATACATACTGGAAGAATATACCAAATAAACCAATAAAGATAGTTATCTCTGGGGAGGCTTAAGTAGACTGGGAGATAAGAATGGAAGAAAGATTGCACACTATGTATCTTTGTATACTGTTTTGATTTCTGAACTATATGAATTTATTACATAAGCAAAAAATAAATAAGTATGATATAGAGAAATCAGCACCCCTAGCAAGGGGCCTTCTTAGAAATGTGTCTGGTAACCTGGCACCATGAGGTTGCCTGGCCTGCTCCTCAGAAGGTAAATCCTAGAGTTGAGGGGATGGCTTCTGATTTAAGACAGTCTTTTATAAGCCAATGACTTCTCTTCCATGTGACTCACTTCAAATGATGGTGCCAGAAATGGAGAAGGCCCTGCCAAGGTGGGGAGGGAACAGACACACCCCATGGCCTGTTGACAACTCCAGGATGGCTTATTCCGTACCCAGTAATCTGCTCACGGCAGTGGGCTGTGCAGTCCTAGACAGCAGCTGGGCCCAGGACTAGCTGCCACTGGAACGCAGTTGATTCCCATTCAGCTCAGGCATCTTAGCCCCTCTGGGTGGTTGAAATTTTTAATTACCAACTGGGATACTCAACGATCGAGGAGACCTCCTGGGAGTTGTATAAGAGGCAAGTGAAGCAAGGGCCATGAGACCTCATTGACTCGTATGTCCTGGCTTGAAAATGGGATTATATCTAACTAGTCAGGAGTGGCAGAGGATCAACTGGTATTTATAGAGTGTGGGTAATAAGGGCCTTGCAGGAAGATGTCCTGTGTTCACAACTCTTCAGAATTCCTCTCATGCATTTTACTTGCCTGTTAAACATGAGCTTCTCATACTTCCACATACCCAGGAAGATACAACTGACGCTGGTCTGGCCAAGTTGGTAGAGAAATGACCTATTGAAGGGGGCAGCTTTCATATCAAAATGAAGGGTACACAGCCACAACAAAAATGTTTTTCCAATAAATCCCAGGAAGAAAATGGGTCAGTAAATATAGTTCTCCACTTCCCACCTGTTAAACAGTAGGCAGGCAGAAGAGACCTGAAGGGAGACTGGCTGATTACCTGAAACAATACATCATCAAAATGCAGGGAGAACTTATCAGGAGAGTTCAGGAGCTCCACCATGGGTAGGAAGATGGAACCTAGTCAGAGCCCCGTAAGAGGAAAGGAAGCCCCTGAGCTAATATCAGCAAACAGAAACAGCTGACCTGTTAGGCAGGAAAATCTCAGAATAACCTCAGAAGAAAATATGAAGCACTAGATTTGTGGCATCCACCTCTAGATAGACTCTGGAAAGCTCTATTCCTCTTTAGCTACCTCTGCACCAAACCTCTGTTTGGCTAGGGATGGTGAGGTGAGGAGAGATGCAGAGCCAGAACCCAGTGACTTCTCCATTGGCCCCATCACATATGAGTATTTCCTATGAACTCCACTGCCATCTACCGCCCCATGAAATCTGCCATCAGACTGACTCACCTGGACTGGTTCCTCCAAGACTCCACTGCAAATAGGACAGATAAGGTCCTCATCAACATCCCCCTGGAAACGGGTTACATCATACCCCATGTCTCATCACTGAAACCCAGGTCCTGGAAGGGACAACAGAGAAAAAAGAGGCCAATTCAGAAGAGGCCTGCAAATATGTACCAACATGAACTCACTGCCTAGATCTGTTCATTTATCCAACAATTATTTATTGAGAGTTTACTATGTTATCTAGGAAGAAAAGTTGACTCAAGAAACCTAATTCTGATGGGAAAAGCATTCCATAAACATACATTTAAAATAGGAAGTGATCAATGCCTTGATAGAATAGGCACAGGGCACCATGAGGGCAAGAGATGTGGGGACCTAACCCAGGCTGAAATGAGTTTTTGAGCAGTTGTCCAGGACCAGGTGTCATGAACATGGCAAACAAGAATGAACTGGGTGTTGGGAGGGACATTAGGGCTTTAGGCACAGTTCCTTACAAATCCCTAAAATGGTGTGTTTAAATGTTGCTTTAATTTACAATAGCCAAGAAATGGAAACACCCTAAGTGTCCATCAGTAGATGAATGGATAAAAAAGATGTGGTACATATACACAATGGTATATTATTCAGCCATAAGAAGAAAACAAATCCTACCATTTGCAACAATTTTGGAGGAATCTAGAGGGTATTATGCTTAGTGAAATAAGCCAGGCGGAGAAAGACAAGTATCAGATGATTTCACTCATCTGTGGAGTATAAGAACAAAGCAAAAACTGAAGGAACAAAACAGCAGCAGATTCACAGAACCCAAGAATGGACTAACAGTTACCAAAGGGAAAGGAACTGGGGAGAATGGGTGGGAAGGGAGGGATAAGGGGTAAAAGGGGCATTACAATTAGCATGCATAATGTAGCGGTGGGGGGGACATGGGGAAGGCAGTATTACACAGAGAAGACAAGTAGTGATTCTATAGCATCTCACTATGCTGAGGGACAGTGACTGTAACAGGGTATGTGGTGGGGACTTAATAATAGAGGGAGTCTAGTAACCATAATGTTGCTCATGTAATTGTACATTAATGTAACCAAAATAAATAAAAAATAAAAAAAAATAAAATAAATAAATGTTGCTTTAACTGGGAGCTTCCCAGCACCAGGGTACAGTGGACATTTACTATTCTGGCTACCTAACATTCTATTTTCTGTCAACAGTACCAGTTTTTCTTTAGGAATCACCCTGGTTCCTAGTGGATATGCAGCCCACCCCAGGACGATGACAGTAAGCCTGGGACTTCTGCTGGAGCTCTCAAGGGCAGCTCTTCCCTGGGGCTGCACACTGCTAGGATGTATAACCCAAGGGCCTGGTAACCACCTCTGCCACTAATGAGGTGGCCAACCTACAGAAAGGAGCCCATAATGAGGGCAGAGCTGAGAGATGAGACTCAGATGAGACTGTCTGAGGCCTCAGATTCAGTCACCTCTGGCACCACAAACACCTTCTCAACATCAGCCATGTGAGTCAGTAAATTCGCTACCATGCTTAGGCTGGTTTCAGCTCAGCCTTTGTCTCTTTCAACTGAGAAAAGTGCTGATTAATACACAAAGCTAATGGACACAATATATCACAAGGCTCCCTTTGGAACCACTTATCTTTACTCGATTTATATAGGAACACTAATACCCTGTGATGCTGCTGCATATTAGTATCCAAAGACTGGGGAGGGAAGGAGAAATAAAGGGCAATATTTTTTTCTTTTATACTAAAATCTGGTTAAATTTAGCCTAAAACCTCACTGCAAAACAATCTACATTTAATATTCAATATCAACCATTCAATAATTGCCATTCATCCATCAATAAAGCCTAAGGAAACCTAGTCTGTGTGTCATGAAGGATGGGAGATGAGCAGAAAGTACTGGAGCAACACAGAAGATGGGCTTTAAATCAGACTGGGGATGGCTGGAAAGACTTCCCTGACAAGGCACTCAAGATCTGTTTACAACAACAAGCTCAGCACTATAGTCATCTTGGGCTACAAAATTCTTTGTCATAGGGTACATACTGTGCACTGTACAATGTTTAGTAGCATCCCTGGCCTCTACCCACTTGAAGTTAGTATTCATCCAGTTGTAACAACCAAAAATGTCTCCAGACTTTGGCAAGTATCCCCTGGGGGACAAAACTGCCCCCAATTAAGAACCACTGGTTTAAAAAATGAGAAGTTAGTGTCATAGAGCAGGGCCTGGGCCTTCTAGAGCAGATAAACTAGCAGGAATCAAAGGAAGAAGTCAGTTGCAGCTCTGTGTAGAGATACGCTGTTAGATAAGCACAGAGAGCAGGGAAGGAGCCAACTGCTGAAGGCGCTGGGGCACCAAACTACAGTTAGAATTAACCTGAAAGCTATGGGAGGACCTGAAGGATTTCTTTTGTTGATATATATTTATAGGTTTTAATTTTTATTTGACAATTTCAGGCTTACAGAAAAAGTCTTAAGAATAGTACAAAGACCCCATATACCCTTCAACCAGATTCCCTAAATGTTCACATTTTACCATATTTATTATATAACTTCTATGTATACACGAACAGATAAAAACTTTCTGAACTGTTTAAAAGTAAACTGAAGACTTGACGCCTTTATACCTATATAACTTTACTGTGTATTTCCTAAGAATATTCTCTTACATAGCAATAGTAAAATTATGGAAATCAGGAAATTAGCATTGACATAGTTCTATTATTTCCAAATCTCTTTCCAATTTTGCCACTTGTCCCAATAATCTCCTTTCGCAAAAGAACATTCAAGAGTACATGTTGTATTGAACTGTCAAGCTCGTTTAAACTCCCTTTAATCTGAAAGTTACTAAACCTTTGTCTTTCACAACCTTGACATTTTTTTTAAGATTATAGGCCAGTTGAATGCTGGCAAGGATACAGAGAAAGGGGAACCCTCCTACACTGTTGGTGGGAATGTAAATTAGTTTAACCATTGTGTAAAGCAATATGGAGGTTCCTCAAAAAACTAAAAATAGAAATACCATTTGACCTGGGAATTCCACTCCTAGGAATTTACCAAAAGAAAACAATATCTCAGATTCAAAAAGACATATGCACCCCTATGTTTATCGCAGCACTGTTTACAATAGCCAGGATATGGAAGCAACCGAAGTGTCCATCAGCAGATTGAATGGATAAAGAAGATGTGGTACATATACACAATGGAATATTACTCAGCCGTAAGAAAACAAATCCTACCATTTGCAACAACATGGATGGAGCTAGAGGGTATTATGCCCAGTGAAATAAACCAGGCGGAGACAGACAAGTACCAAAGGATTTCCCTCATCTGTGGAGTATAACAACGAAGCAGCAGCAGACTCACAGACTCCAAGAAGGGACTAGCAGTTCCCAAAGGGAAGGAGTGGGGGAAGGTGGGTGGGGAGGGAGGGAGAAGGGTATTGAGGGGCATTATGATTGGCACACAGTGTGGGGGAAGTCATGGGGAAAACAGTGTAGTACAGAGATGACAAGTAGTGACTCTGTGGCATCTTACTATGCTGATGGACAGTGACTGAAATGGGGTGTGTGTGTGGATTTGATAATAGGGGTGAATGTTGTAACCACAATGTCGCTCATGTGAAACCTTCAAAAGATTGTATATCAATGATACCTTAACAAAAAAAAATACAGGACTTGATTCAAGATGGTGGTGTGAGAGGTTGAGACAGAGAACTCCTCCCAAAACCACAGATAGTGTGAAAATATAGTTAATACAACTAACCCTAAAACAGCATCAGGAAAGAAGGCCGCACCAGACTGCACACAGACCTCACAAAACAGGGTAACGTACAAAAGCCTTGATATGGGGGGACCCAAGCCCTTCCCCCACCCCAGCTCACCGGTGGGAGGAAGAGAAACAGAGTGGGGAGCGGGCAGAAGCTTGGGACTGCTGAACACCTGGCCCTGGAGGTCTGCAATGTAGGTGCTCTGGAGGATGGGAAGCTGGGACAGGCGGAGTGCTTGAGAGACAGATTGTGGCTGTTTGTGGAGGATGTGATCCACACCTGACCACTCTGTGTCAGAGGAAAGGCAGGCAGTCTAAGAGCCTTCCTAGCAGCGAGAAGGCTGCTGAAGGGGTGGAGTTTGCATGGAGCTGGCTGTGCAGGAGAAGGGACAGGGGGAAAAGATTGTCTGGGCACGCTCTACCCAGCAGATTGGGAACTTTGGGGAGCTTCAGGTGCTCCATTCCCCTGACTAGCTACTCGGCTCCAAGGCACCCCACCACTGTGACATGCAGCCTGCCTAGCCTTCCTCCTGGCCTGACAGCACCGCCTCACAAACCGGCAGTCACTGCACTGGAATCAGGCCAGCCAGAGGGAGGCCCAACCTACAATAATTAGAGAGGCACATAGCTTTACACCTGTGTACTCAGTCCACTGGCCCTGATACAGGAGACTGGCAGGCCAGACGGGAGTCAGGAAACAGACCTTTCCTCCCCCCAGGCATCAGCTCCCCCAACCTCACTCTAGGGGCTAAGCAGCTCCAGAGACTGGAGCTTCTGGGCAATAGAGGGCACCACACAGAAATATGAAATGTCAAAAGAACATGGTTCAGACCAAAATCTCACAAACCACAGAAAAAGGGCCAAATGAAATGGAACTCACAAGTCTTCCTGAAAGAGAATTTGGAAAATTCATAAACATGCTCATTGAAGTACGGAAAAATATTCAAGAACTCAGGAATTTCAACTGAGAAAAGTGCTGATTAATACACAAAGCTAATGGACACAATATATCACAAGGCTCCCTTTGGAACCACTTATCTTTACTCGATTTATATAGGAACACTAATACCCTGTGATGCTGCTGCATATTAGTATCCAAAGACTGGGGAGGGAAGGAGAAATAAAGGGCAATATTTTTTTCTTTTATACTAAAATCTGGTTAAATTTAGCCTAAAACCTCACTGCAAAACAATCTACATTTAATATTCAATATCAACCATTCAATAATTGCCATTCATCCATCAATAAAGCCTAAGGAAACCTAGTCTGTGTGTCATGAAGGATGGGAGATGAGCAGAAAGTACTGGAGCAACACAGAAGATGGGCTTTAAAT